GGTTATGAACGAAAACCATGGACGGGAAAATAACCGCTCACGGTTCAAACCCAACACTTTGCGCTCCGGTGACCGCAACGCAAGTTTAACACCGAGGAGACGATCAGCGAAGTCAGTAGATTTTCTCTTGGTAGAAATGTTGATACTTATAAAACTTGCAGTGCATAATGCAACTTCGCGACTCTTGATATTTTCTTCTTTTTTTTTTTTTCAGTGGCTACAAGTCACCGTCAAACTATATGGTTGTGATTGGAGAACAAAACCTCAACAAGGTCGATCCCTACGAGAAAAAAATCGCAGTCGTAAACGTAAGAACTCGCATTCTCTGCGCCTTGTATGCTCAGCTTTAGTCAACTTCTAACTACCAGAAACAAATCACCCCATGTTAAACCGCGAATTCTCGCAGAGGTTTGCTGTTCTCACAATATTACGTAAGTTGTACTCTTCTAATTCTCTCATTGGCGGTTTTCCTCTTGAACACAAATGTCCCATGGCAGGACTGTCCTGACTCTGATGGCATAAGAACCGGAGAGGAAAGTAGAACATTTTCATAAAAGAGTTACCATCCCAACCATGACTTTAAATATTATAGATATCTCCTGAAATTTTTTCCTCAATTACATTTATACGATTAAGCTCTAAACTCCGGGTGTTCGTAATATGTGAAAGCAGTTTACGGTTACAAAACACCAGGCTTTTCTTTTGTTTTCGTCGGCTTATAGCATTCGTATTATATTAGAGATTGTGTTCTAGAAAGTCTGTCACTTCCACGACGGAGCCATTGGGCGCGGATGTCGGGAAAAGGCCAAGAGCAGCACCGAACGGTTAGCCATATGGTAGCGCTGAGCCTGTCCTGGGTTAACCTCCAGTTTTATGGTGACTAGCCCTTGAAAGAAAATTTTAGGAACAGCTTTGGAAATTCGCCAAAAGAACGTAAAGAGGAGGTTAGAGAACCATGTTTAACATAGAAGATATTTCGATTGACTGTGCAGGCTCTGTATAGGCACTGCTTGCAGAGGCAGAGTTCTTTTTTCTTGCACCGCCAACTCTGCATTGGCGGAGAAACCGTCACATGCGTCGACCTGGATACCCTCTTTATGAGGAAAAGTGACCTCGCAGGCGCCGAGTTTCGGGCGGAGCGTGTTTCTCGCTTTGCTTCACTTGCAAAAAATATATCGCACACTAAAATCGAACAAACTGGAAGGTTCCTTGACCATGGGACATTATGTGTAGCCTCTGGGCACAGTATAATCGCGTCGTTTGATAACGCGAATGATGTATTAAAACATGTTTCCAAAGCGTGGGAAGCAGACGATATGGAGGACGATCGCGTAGCTCGCGTCTACGACGCTCGCGGAGTGATACGCGACCGGCACATCCGAACACTTCGGACCTGACAACCATGCGTAGCTACGGCTTTCAAAGGGACGATGTTCCCATCGGTTAGTATGGTCTATCGATGGCATAAAAAAAAAAGAGGAGACAAAGGACGGGACGACGGCACACGCGCGGCGTGTCGCAGCACTATAAGGTGACCCAAGTCACCAGGCTCAATCTAAGATGAACCGTAAAAATCAACGCCTGCACGCAGCAATCTAAACTTTTCGTCAAAGGTGTATTTCACAGGTCGGTTTTTTCCTGTAAATTTACAATGCGTAGTTCACTTTCTGTAAAAAATAAGGCCAAGAAACTTGTCAAAATCCCCTCCCCCGAGATCACGTGACCCCCCGGGGTCACGTGACTACCCGCAGGTGACGTGATTCCCCTCAGTACCCTTCCCTACTCCTCCTCAAGAGCTGCGCTCCTATTCGGCGTTACAGGAATTTGTAAACGGCTTTCAGTTTTTTGTCAAGTTAGACAAAAATTATTTTGAGTAAACTTTCAGAAAGGAAAGAAAATAAACTGTACTGATAAAGCCGTTATATTTTAACTGAAGATACATTTCAGAAAGATTATGTTCATTTCCATAAACCACGGTGGTCGCGAGCCGTCGCGATAAGAAAGTAGCGCCATCTATCAATACGAACGCCAAACACACCCCGCTACTGGACCCCTATCGTCTGTGTTGATGCCCGCCGTAGACCCTGGCAAGTTTCTGGGCCTTATCTTTTACAGAAAGAGAGCTACGCTTTGTTATTTTACGAGAAAAAAAAACGACCTATGAAATACACCTTTGACGAAAAGTTTAGATTGCTGCGTGCAGGCGTCGATTTTTACGGTCCATTTTAGATCGATCCTGGTAACCTGAATCAGTAGAGTAGACTGTTGGGCTAGTTGGTTTTGGAACTTGGAATACATTTTAGCGCTCAAAAACAAGGACAAAAAGACGAGAATCAGACTCCACAGTGCGCTTGTGGTGTCTCATTCTCGTCTTTTTGTCCTTGTTTTTTAGCGCTAAAATGTATCCCAAGACTTGAACCAACCTATATATCTTCATCTCGTAAACCCTGAGATAGGGAACGATAAAAAAACGTTCCCCATCTCAAGGTTTACAAGATATCGATTCATTACCAGCTCGCCTGCACTCTATCACTGCTTACTATAGACGCTTTACACACGCGCCAGATTACAGACGCCACTGCCGACCTTCTATTGTCTTACCGAGATATCAAACCCCTGAAGCGGGCTTTGGCGAGCCTCCACAAAGGCAAATGCTGGGGAAAAAGACACCGTCGTATCTAAAATGCCAGTAACCTGTCCTCCTGTGGTAATGATGGAGCGAAGTGAAAAATAATAGAGGAAACAAAACTGAAGGTCGGTTATGGCGGCGCCCATGCACAGTTGCTGTAAAGCGTCTATATCTTCACTGCTCCGCATGCTGCAGCACGCCGCCTCAAGGGATCGTTCACACAGTTGCGTTCAAGCGCGACGGCAACCATTCGTGCCTCTTTAAGGCTGTTTGCGTCGAACTGTTGCCATGGCGACAATTGCGACGAGCCAAAGGGGAGGCGCTGTGCTTCACAACGCAACGCAGTGCGACGCAAGTGTGTGAACGGGCCTTCACAGCCGCGCCATCCGCGCCTCCTGATCTCCTGCAGAAGCGACGGTCGCTTCCTGCAGTGCGGCCTTGGATCCAACGTGGCCGCCCAGGGAGCACCATTGCTACACTCTGCTCCACAAGCGTAGCGCATACAGTTACTCTAGGGTAACCCTTTAGTCAGCTCCAACGATACGCGCGGAGGCCTCTGCGCGAAAAAACAAACTGCAACGAAGGAAAAAAAGAAAGAAAAGAGGCTACGGGCGCGTGGAGAAACGGGAGAGGGGCGAAAGAGAGGAAAATTTTTTGGGAGAATCAACGGAAAATGTTCTTCGCTCCTCAAAAAAAAAAAAAAAAAAAAAGAAAGAAAAGGAGCTCGATTCTGTTTCCATATTTTACCGCTGAAGCATTGGTTTGGCGCTGCCAAAGAATGCCCCTGCTAGGGAGGCTCTAGTTAGGGTGGATGCAACGGCTAGATCGGAGATCACAGGATATGGACGCCATTTAATTGCTAAATTTTGCTGGGAGTCTATGGAGCAAAACGGTCGTTTTATTTCCTAACTCGGGTCTCAAAAGCCCATTAATGTGCTCGAATAATTTACGCAAGGTATAAATGATTACTTTTCTATAGCCATCAGTTTTGTTCCGACAGGCTAAGTATTTGTTTAACGCGAAGAAAATGGTAAATTCCGCCATCTTGGACGTTGCTGCTTGTCTCGCAACCCTGCTTTCTCCTCTCGGCGTTTGCAATTCCCGGAGCGAGGAGGAAGCGAGATAGGCTTGCTTGCAATGGGAGACGAGAGGAGGAAAGGCACATGGGGCAACAGAGCGGGAGTCTGCTCTTGTGCAGGCTAGGGAGCCTTCATGTGCACATGAAGGCACCCTAGTGCAGGCAACATTGGCGCATATCCTTTCCCAATTCTTTCCCTCAGGCGCCGCCATCAAATTGCAAACGCTCTCAAGGATTTAAGTTGCGCCCACCCTAACTGTTAAACCCGTTTATAACGAACAGCAAGAAACACTACGATCAGTTCGATATATAGCAAAAACCATTTACAACGAACTTCCACGATGCGTTCGTTGTAAGACGAGAGTTTTTCTCTCTTTCTCATCTCTTCACTTCCGCCTTGTAAGCCTGAGCTAAAACACTTTTTTTTTTGCATGCGTGCAGACTTTTTTTTAGCTTGACTTCCCTTCTGAATAGCTTTTCTTCGTGAGCAAATGCTTTGGGATGAAACGTTATTTGTGTGTGTGTGTGTGTGTGTGTATGTGTGTGCGTGCGTGCGTGCGTGCGTGCGTGCGTGCGTGCGTGCGTGCAGAGTGTATTTACAGCTTTCTCCCCTTCTGAATCGCTTCTCTGCCCTCAATTTTGTTCGCAACTTGAGCTTTTGGAATTTTCTTCCTTTCCTATTTCTTTTTTTTGGGGGAAGGGGCAGGCTAGAAGACGATTGTTTGCTTGTTCTTGGAAGCGTTCCCGGAGGGAAAAGTTCGATATAGCCAATATGTTGTTTGTTATAAAAAGTATTTTACATACATTTTTATTTAAATTTTCTGTGAGTTCGATATCGACAATAATTCGCTTTACGTGGGTTCGTTCTAAACGGGTTTCACGTAGAGCCTCCGAGCCCCTGCGCGCGCCCTCTCCTTTGATCTCCCTTCTCCTTTACAGAGGCGACGTTCTTTCGCGTTTTGACAGGCTTTCTAGAATAAAGGAGGCGAGGCCAGTAGTCACCACAGCCACCAGCTTTGGTTCTGTATGTAAGAGCAAGTGTTGTACCTGTCAATAACGCGAACAGGCGCAATGCCTATGAACGTCGCAACACACCGGGTCGAGAATTGAAGAACCGAGGTAGCGAGCTGTTTCCTTCAGCATTCAGATTAGCTAACAAAATATAATTCTACACGTTTTCTCGAGCCACAGATCACGATTCATCCGCAATGGAACCCTTCCAACGTGAACTACGATTACGCCTTGCTGAAGCTGGCGAGACCGCTCAACTTCACGGGTAGCGAGAAGGCGCTGATGCCCATCTGCCTTCCGACGCTCAACCAAGGATTCGATGGAATGACCTGCACCACCAGCGGATGGGGACTCACGAAAGACAGTCGGTGTTTTGTTTTCGTTCGTGGCTGGGAACAACTTTAGGAACTAAATGGCGGGGAGCCAGGGATGCCCCTTTCTCTTCCTTTTGCCGCCAACTCCTCACCGGAGGAGAGGGGGTCACTTGCGCCAAATTTGCCTACGGCGCTTGCGGGGAGGTGGCCTTGCGGTGTCCGAGAAACTGAGAAAGAGGAGGAGACGGGACCTGCCTTTGTCTCCACAGCACTCATGGAACGCCTTCGAATGAAAAAGCCTAACGCGGGACGCTGGCTTTCCGCGTTCTAACGCATTCGAGGAGTGCAGTGAAGACAAAGGCTGTCAGCGTTCTGTCTACCAACCAGGGCTCGGCGTTCTGAAGTCCTCGCGCGTCTACATCTCCTCTTGTCCCTAATTTTCTCGGCGCGTTGTTCATTGTGTGTTCGCGAAATGTATGTATTACGCTAGAGCGTGACAAAAACGAAGCTTCTTGAACCTTCGGACATGTGGTGTGCCGCGTAGACACAAGTAATTGCGTTGTTTTTATAATGGAGACGCTGTTTTAATGCGGCCATGTACAAGCAGATATCACGAGAACCGACGACGCAGTGCCCGCGCGCGCGAGCTTCCGAAACTTGGGAGACGCACAAAAGCGCATGCGCGACATGAGCCGCCGCCTCATGTCTTCAGGCACGTCGCGTCTCCTGCAAGAAAGAAGGTCGCTTCTCCCGCAATACCTGGAGTCAGAAAGTTGAGACCATTGCCATACTTTGCTCCGCAACCGGTCGCTGAATGGACAATACTCATCGGTGCATGGTCTTATTCATCACGACAAAAAGCGTTAGAACTCGTATAAGGTAGTTTCTATTCCATTTGTGGCACAGTGCAAGTTCAATGAGTCTATTTCATTTGCCGTTCCTAATGTCGTTGGGAGAAAACAGCCTTGGACATTTCCGCTATACTCTACCAGTACACTCCTGGATGACTGTTGTGTCTATTTCGTATTAAAACGCAGCTTTTAAGCGCGCGTTTCTGGCATATGGAGTGGCGTCGCCACCGCCGTCGGCGTAACCGTGAGGTCACGTGACCCCCCTGACGTCACATGACCCTCCTGAGGTCACGTGACCCCCCCCTTCCCCCCCCCCCCCCCGTGGGGTCACGTGGCCCCCGTGGCGGAGAAGTAGGCAGGATGACGACGTAAGGAGGAGGGGGGAGGCGTATGCCCTCCCCCCAGTACCCTTGCATTCTCCTCCTGATCTGCGCTCTAATTCGGTGTTACAGGGAGTTGTAAATGGCTTTCATTTTTTCACATTGCGTTTCGTTAGAGTGTCAACCACTTCGACTCCGAAGCCCCCCTTCCGTGCAAATTATTTTTTGTTTTGCTTTGTATTTTTTTTTAGGGGGGGGGGGGGGGGAGGGGCTTAGTCTAGGAGAGCCTTCCCATTCATGGTTTTGATAAATACATAACAAAGTAATGAGCAATATTTTCCTCGCCGCGTCCGGATACCATGTGTAAATAATTGACCTCGACTCCCGCTTTCTTCGTCTTCTCTCTGCAGAGTCCCAGGGTGGAACCATATCCCAGTCCCTTCAGAAGGTTGATTTGCCTATAGTGCCTTACGCAACCTGCAAATCAAACTACCAAAACGTTAATCCGGTCGTAGAAGCCACAATGATCTGTGCTGGTCCAAAGGCCGGCGGAAAAGGAGCCTGCCAGGTGAGAAATTCACGCTGTTTAAACTGCGCCACAGAGCGGAGGTTTGCGAACGAAGGAATACCGATCTCCATGCGCAGGCCTATAGCGCGCCTGTTATTCTCTAGACGAAGCTGAAGCTGCGCAATAATTAATTTTTGTTCACGGCGCCTGGAACGCGTCTCAGACTGGAAATAAAAAATGGGGTCGTTATCTGCAGCTTATTTCGTCTTCATCTAGAACACGGCCAGCGCTGAACTGTTCGCGAGGCTACTATACTCTCTCAGGGAACCACGTCGGCTTTCGCGCTTCCTTCTCTGAGAAATACCGGAAAGATGTTCCCGACGCTTGTGTCATGTACATGTTTCGCGTTTGGAACAACTTCGTGCCCATGTCCTGTTGTCTTGCACACAAAGCCCGATAAACGCCGATTTTTGTTTTGGACGTCAAACATTGACACCGAAAGACACCGACTCCGTGGAAACAACGAAACCCCGAAAAACAACACCACCGAAATCGAAACAAAATAATTCCCCCCCCCCCCCCCCCGCACCAAAAAAAAAAAAAAAAAAAAAAAAATTCTACCTAATTTTGAAGTAGATGAAAACTTTAAGGCGCTCTTCATTCGTGGTCACACTGTTAATACAAGACAGACTGCAGACACACTCTGAGGCGTGTTTCTTTGTATGTGGCCCTTTCACACTGGTCATACAAACAATGTCGGCAGACATGTTTGTAGCACGTGCATATGAGGCGAACATGCTTCAAACGTCTGTGGCATGTCCTTAGACAATTCTGCCATGATGTCTGCGGAGAAACTCCATGACCATTGTACATGACTTATGGGCAGTGCAGCTGCGGCCTTAGGCTATCCGTTGCAACCGCGCACGCTCTTTGTTCCCAGGGCGACTCCGGGGGTCCCCTGCAGTGCCGCAGGTCCGACGGCCGCTACGTGCTGGCCGGAAGTACGTCGTGGGGAACGACGTGTGCGGCAGCCAATCAGCCCACTGTGTTTGGGAGAATCTCTCCCCAGGTCAACTGGATCAACAGCGTCGTTGGCCAAACCCCGTGAATTCGCCCTGGTTTCCATCGAGCGCTTACTGTCTCTTCTTTGCATTAAAAGCTGTCCGTGTACCTCAGCAAACTCTGTTTATTTTAAAAATCCTAGCTGATTCTTGCGTTGGACTTTATTTTTACTTGAAAGCAGACAACAGCAGCGGATGTTGTTATAACGACGCTCGTGTCCACGAGAAAGCATTATCTGACCTGCGCTTGAAGCTGTTCTTCATCCTCATGTACTCGAAATGTAGATCTAGACCAACAGGCTTACAAACAAGCCCGCGTTTGCCCACACCAGGTGTGGGCACAGTGCGTGTGCAAACTGGATTTCAGTGAGGTGCAACGACTGCGCATGCGCGTCGAGCCGACAGCAGCGCCACCGCAGTCGCGTAACGCCTGGCCCACCGCGTTCCGGCAATAGACCCTTTGCAAAAATCCCACAAGCCCGCGCGCGCCGCGAGAATATTTACGGGAATCCTCGGTATGGGGCATACCGAGGATTCCCGTACATATTCTCGTATCTCCGTATCCATCGTATCTCCTCCTTCTACCACGTGACATATGCAATCTGGCGCAGGTTACCTAGGCAACAACGCTGGAGCAGCGTAGTCGGGCGAGGGCACGGTTATGGGGGAGAGGCTAGCTTGCGAGGCTGCCTGGGCTGCCCCTTTCTTAATCCTCTCCTTTGTACCGTCTCCGTCGTCTGCTACACCAAGGCTTTGTCGAAATTGGTCCAACCGTGCCACGGTTGCGGTGCAAAATAAGTGGATTCGGTAAAACTGCAAGGCGTGAAGGTAAGTTACTACGGATTATGTACTCAAATAAGGAATTGTGGCGGAGCGTGTACACTGCCACAGGCATAGTCCTGGTTTACGTTTAGCACGCGATCTGTACCGAGGTTTCCCAAAATCTCCTGCCGTCGTGGCGCTGTATGTATTTCAACAGGTTTATTCGAAAAACTGCATAAAAACCCATTGCGAGAAATAATAAGAAAAGATTATTGATGAATACTTACTCGACCCGTAAGATTGAACGCTGCAACAGCTGGGGTGGGACGTCGGATCCGCTAAGGTGTTATTTCGGAGCAGATGGACTGAATGAACGGTAAAGGTGGGAGCGCGCACCATTGAGTCCGCATTGGCGTTTCGCATTTGACCGAGTAACACACGGAACGAAAGTTCCATAGCGTTTTAAAATCCATGTGGGGGTATTAAGTGGAGAGCCTTTCGTCACCTTGTTAAGCAAGTTTATCGGACACACACTAGGACTGCCTTGCGGTAAATGAAAAACATTTCGAAAATCGCGCTCCCAAGTTTGAAATCCAGGGAACGACGAACCTGCATGTGTACGGATGAACCTTTCCCTGTCGTTGGTGCGGCTGCCTGAACGTCTTATCAAATGTTATTCTACACAAACTAACACCGCCTTGTGGTCACTGAAAAAGACTTCCAAAATCGCGCTCTCAAGTTTCGAGCGTTTAGCTCCACCTGATCTCACGCCCGTGGTTTCGCCGACCTAACACCGATCCAGCTTTATTTGTTTTATCGCCCGAGAAACTTTCTGAGAGAATTCGCGACGACGCTTTGTTTTTATATTGCTTCAATTATCAACAGTCTCATGGTTATGTCTCTACGCGCCGTCATGGCGTCACGTGACGAAGTATTGTAACATGACGTCTGATTGTCACGTGACGTCACATTGTCACGTGACGTCATGACATCACCTGACACACGATCACCGGACGTCATTAGGTCGCGTTGCGTCACTGTACGTTTGGACGCCTATCAAGGATCGACAGTATTAGCCCCGAGAAGTTCGCGTGGCGCCCCCTTACGGCAAACCGGGGTTACGTCACGGCGAGGAGAGATTTTTTCCCCGACTCGGCCCGCTCGCCCGTGGAGGCTGTGACGACGCTAGCTGTCGGCGCGCTCGTTTTTATTTATTTTTTTTGGCGTGTTTTTCGTAGGAAGTGTAAATTTTTATATGTGCCTTTATTGAGGTATGGCCTGTAGCTACAGGCGAAACTTCAACCAACATTTTAAGCAATGTTGACAGGGCAGGCAACGGATGAATCACAGCTGGTATATGAAAATAAAGAAATATGGCCACAATTGCAGGAGCATCACTATAGATTTACATCTCGCACAATAAATGCTGCTGATGGTCTGAATGAATTGGCAGGTTATGTGCACTTTTTTTTTTGTATCTCTGTTTATAAACAAGATCGCCGAAGCAGAAAAGCTGCATGCTGCTCGAGCAACATCTTAAATACAGTCTGGGCCATGGGGAGAGGATCATAAGTAAGACAGCCCAAGTGCAGGGACAAAATAAAAAAAAAAAAAAAAAAAAAAACAGGGAACATGCATTATATACATTGCTCGCATTTGACCTTTGCTTGATTTGGATAGTATTTCAATGAACTACACGGGTGGTATCTATGGACTTGTTTATATCAACCCTCAAGTAATGTATAACAAACGTAAGCGAAGGTGCCTAGCCCTTTATTAGTCCCTTAAGCCCTAAAATTGAAATTTTACTTAAATCGAACTGTCCTGAAGTTCAATACCAGAGGCCAGATTCACGAAGAGCTTCTTAGTTTACGACAACTTAGCTAAGAAGTTCGTAAGTTAAGAACATCGTAAGAAGAGGAGAAATCGGTGTTCACGAACGCGTTCTTAAGTGAAAGGAGGAAAGCGACGTTGTCACACGGAAAGACTCGAACTTACCGGTGCTGTTGCTATGGCGACGGCGTCTTCGGCAGCACGAACAACCAATCGGAGAGCTCGGCATGGTTCGGAGTCGTTCGGAGCACGTGGATTTTTAATAACAAACACAGGCGGCCTTTCTGCCACCGCTTGTCTGGGGTTCGTGTCCGTGCAGTGATATGTCGACGCTAACACGATTTAAACGCGCCCGAATGCCGAGGCCGGGACGCGTAACCGCCTTCATTGACTGCTACGAACCCGATCGCTGCGAAGACAACACAACTGTCATCGTTGGTAAAAGATGGCCCGCATCAGTCGTTTGCTAAGCGACGTAGATGGAGACGAATTGCCGCGGCGTTTTTTGCGGCCTCGGAGGTGCAGGAGCAAGCCGACGTTAAAAGAGATACGTTTGAACTACGAGAGTGTCAGCAAGAGCCACGTAATACCTGTTCACACTCGGAGCGGAAGCGCGCGTTTGATCGAAGTGGTGGATTCGCGCTGTTGGACCGCGAAATGGTGAGCGCTTCGGGACCGATCCTTTACGATTGAAACTCGATGCTGGCGTGACACCCGGCAAAGAAAGGTTGGGCCGGCATTGCGACCCACGAGCTGTTATAGCGATCGACAGTGAGGTGCAGTGGTGTCAGAATACAAATGGCATATTAATAACAAAGTGTACATATCGTGTTGCGAAGATTATCCATACGGCGTTTATTTGAGCTCTATATCACACAAAACGAAGATATAGAATCGATGAGGGTCCCCTTTCGACGACAGCGTTCGTCACCACTGCATCGGAAAGCAAGGAAATGACAAAAGGAAGAGATTGACCTCTTAATTTAAAATTGAGGTCAGCGATCAAACCATAATACGGGAAGGGTTCGCAAGGGTCGCGGGGGCATGTTCCATTCAGCACGCCAGCCGGTCGTGTCGGATCACCGCTGCGCCGAGTCGGTGTGCCTGCTAGGCCTATCTGCCGAGCTCGCTTGGTGAATCGTGGCCGTTGGAGCTTTTCCCAAGTGTTTGTGGATCCAGCGTTCCTGTTTGTCGTGGTCTGTTTCAAGTACTTTTTACTTTTTTCTTGCTGGTCGAAGTCGGGACGGGTGAGAAGCGCACGTAGAAAAATAAACCTCCGTTGATCGTCGCGGCCAATTAACTTAGCGACGCTGTCGGCCATGCTGATTTGATCGTAAAAAGGGCGTAAGACAGCATCAGAGCTGTCGCAGGATTTCGTCGTAACCTGCGCAAAACTTACGGAAATTTAGTTTCGTCAATACGAATTTGTTCTTTAGTTTTGTTTTACGCACATTTTTTGGCGTAAGATCGTTTCGTGAATCTGGCCTCTCAAGCTTTTCTCACGCAGACTGTCGCCCTTCACAGGTTCCACATTTTCTGCTACTAGTGCTGCATCGACCACTAGACACACGTTCGAATTCTTGCTTTTATTCCTGTTTTCCTCTGTTGTCAGAGAGTCCAGCTGTAGGGAGTTTGGAGGCTGACGAAGCGTTTGGAGATCTGCAGCAGTGTCTCTTTTAATTGGAAAGGGCAATTCATACTAAACGGTGTATTTTCCGAATACCCAAGGCTGGAATAAAATGTCAGGAAAACGTATAAACATTCCAAATTACGGCACTATTGCTGTACATATTTTGGGTAGCTCAATACATATCATACAGGCAACTGGAGGCAATTCGGCCGTTTTTGCTGCTACCATACAAACTAATTTCCAGTAATTGTGCATCTTCTAAGAAATATGCCTACATACGTGTATAAACTATATAATTAATTCAAGAAGAAGCTACATTTACGTAAAACAACCCTGTTCCGCGAGCACTTTAAGATACACAGGGCCTTTAAAACATCTGCGAACCAGCGCATGCAGAGTGGCAGCGCAGAGTCGGGGTCGCGAGCTAATTTGCCGACCACCCAAAGGCCCATGATATAAATGACACTTTAAATGCGTTGAAAGCGGGATGTAACATCGTCATAAATCATGAACATGCAAGGAACAGAATCCCAGGGTCTGAAACAATTGCGCCACCGCTTCACCGATCCCTCGCAAAATTGCCTTGTGTCCTGTGGACGGACGGGGAGGTTCATCGGCGGAATTGCCTCTGCAGATAGCTTTCGGGATTTGTAACCCAATTTTAAAGGTAAAAGGGACAAGCAGGCTTATAAAATGTACGGAAGCAGGTCAATATCGGCCTAACTCAACGTCTTGTACACCGGGTAAACGAAGTCCAGCTCCTCGAAGAGCTTGCGGCACACAACGCCAAACCAGGAAACCGGTGCTGGGAAGCGAGCCGAT